TGGCTCAAAGTCTATCTTCATCTCGGGTGGTGGTTGTTCTTTTTGGTAGAAGCCTCGATTGGGTTTCCTATACTTCTCGTCCTTTTTCTTCTTGTATCGTTGTAAGGCAACCACTCCTTAATTCGGTTTAATCTAATCCTCGTCTTATATGTCTCCACTTGAGTGTCACACTTGAGCTTTCCGGTTACCGTTATCGTCCAAGTCATAATCTTTCTTCAAATGTGGGCCATTGCAATTCTCACAACCCACATGTATGGCATGTATAGATTGATCCATCTTCATCATTCTTTAATCTATATTCTCTAGTTTTTATAATACCGCTGCTATGGTCTCATTTTCACCATCCTTACTCCCTTTTCTCCTAATATTATCATCACGTGGATTGTGGTACACCCGCGAGTGTTTTGCGAACTATTCAATTAAATCCGTAATCACCACCGGTTCCTTCTTTGGCATCGGTCATTGAGAGTTAAGAAGTTTCCTCGTGATCACATTTAGCCTATCATAGAAAATAGAAACCTCTTGTTGAACGTTTAAATCGTGTTGTGGGTAGTGTCTTAACAATCCCTTGTATCTTTCCCCAAGCTTCATATAAGGACTCCCCACTTTCTTGTTGGAAGTTAACTATTTTTTTCTTGAGTTTAGCAATATTTGATGGAGGGCTAAATTATTCAATGAAAGCTTCATGAAGGTTGGTCAAAGTTCTAATTGTTCTCGGCTCAAGTGAATTCAACCATACTTTTGCATCCCCAATAAATGTCACAGGAAGCATCCTGAGTAGTACCACATCTCTTGAAACATTTGGAACATGGAAGTAGTTGGATATGTCTAGCACATCATCAGTGTACTTGAAAGCCTCTTCATAGTCCTTGCTAGAAAATGGAATTTCATTTAGCATCAACAAAATATGTCCCTTGAGCTCAAAGTTTATTGCAGTCAAATTTTTTTGTGGTACAAGTCCTGGTCCATTATCCTCATGGATTCGCTTCTTGTAATCTTCTATAGTCATTCTGGTGATGTCCGCCATTTCTTCCCCCTCGATTTTTATTTTGTCTTCCGAATCTTCCTCGTTTGCTGGTCTGTGCCTAATGCCTTTCTTGTTAGGAGTGTTATTGAAGCTTTCAAAGTCCTTATTTGTTTGAAAACGGCTACTTGATTCGTCAAACTTTTTATCTGTCTTTTTGTGGAATACGGATTCTGGATCTTCGAGTGGTAGTATGATAGGAAGCTATGATCCCCTAGTCATAAACTATTGAAATAAAACAGAAACATGTAAAATGAATAAAAATAAATAAACTAAAAACTGATTGTAACGTGACCATGATGTGGCAAGGATGCCCACAACGTGGTTGCTGAACAGACAGAAAAATATAAGAAATGCAGAAAAATAACTTTTTGAGGTTTTTACCCTACAAAATGATCAAATAACTAAAAGCAATTAAACTAAAAATCAAATAAGACGTTCTCGGCAATGACATTAAAAACTTGGTGTGCATAGAAGTACCTACTGTTTTAAATTTTTAAAACTTAACTAACTTAATTAATTTATGCACATATAGGGAGTACCTAGTCGATTGTAGAATAGCTTGGGTAAGTCGGGTGTCGAACTTAGGGAATGAAATTTAATTAATAAAATAAGTGCTTTTAATTTAACTAAGAAAACAAACTTTAAATCAGGGGGTTTTTATCGATTTTGCAAGATCAGAAGAACTTAAATCAAACTCTTATTAAATTAGCAACTAAGGAAACAAAGAAAACAATTTTACTTCAAGATTATAGGGTACTTATGTTCAGTTCCGATTTCCCCCTCTCGTATGGTTGATTTCTAGTGGATAGATTATATTGATTACCAATTCATTAATTTACTAGCTATTATGATCAATTGCCTAGATGTACCAATTTATGAATTACCACTTAATGATCAAGCACACAGGTTAAACACAAAATCGATATAAGTACAAATTGGACTATGAATGATAAATCTAATAGTTACTTTTCTATAATCAAGTCAAGAAACCAAGCACAAATTAAGATTAATTATGCTCTCTAACACTATTAGGGTTACTAAATTTAATTACCTAATCTAAGATGTGATTAATCTTGGCTCTAATTATTTAATTATCATAAACAACTAGGTAACAAATTCATGCAACTAGAATGGTCATATATCACATAGAACTTGATAAATAAGCAATATAAGCTAAAATTTCAGCATGCTAGGATTTAAGTTATCAAACACAAGTAAAATCAACATAAATTATCCATAGGTCAAAATCAACACATAAGGATCATGTTCATCTTCACCAAATAGAAGTATAAGCTTTGTAGCCTCTCATCATAACAGGAAAACACACTAAATCAATGCAGTTTAGACTATACATGAGTAACGCTTAGCAAACCGAATAGATCTATATAGATTTCTTCTAAATCTCTTCAACTCTTGAGCTCCAATCAATTTTTTATTTTTCCAAGGTTTTCTAGATGGTTTTAGTCACAATCCCTCTCTGAAAATCGACCAAAAGTCTCTCAATTTAACATAATATTCGAGTATTTATAGTTTCCATAATTCTGACCGCCACGACGTGGAGAATATGTGTCACGTCGTGGTCTTCTATTAAATCCCGTATTCTCCAAGTCAGTTTAATGATAGCGAATCTTCCAATTGCCACTGTGTGGAGTAGAGTAGCCATGTTGTGGGCTTCAGACTTCATGCCTTCTTTTTCTTCAAAAGTCTTAGCCCACTCTTTCCTGCTTCCAGCTTCGCATTTGCTTCTTTTTCATCCTAAGCATGTCTTTGCTACTACAAAACAGATTTCAAATATAATAAGTATCTTATGTCCTTAAATAATCATAATTGTAGCTAAAATTATTAGAAATATGCATGAAATATATGAATAAATATGTACATATCAAACAACTTCTCAATAAAAGAATCGTCCCAAAATTAAGAGGACAACCACCATAAGATCCTGAAGAAAAACTGTATTTAGATATAAAGCATGTGTAGCCTAATTAGATGAACTACATTTCCAATTATTTTATTGAACATTTAATTAAGATGAAAGTAGCTCTTGATAGGTCATTATTTTGTGATTTGGGCTAGACAATCATATGTATAGGTCTTAATAGGTTCATGGTCATGTTTTGTTGATTTTGGCATAATTTACAGCTGAGTTGGTGTTTACGGCCGTAAACAGCTTTACGACCGTGAACCTGTTTACGGTCAGTTGTTCCCTATATATATAGTTTGTGTCAGAGTCTGTCAGAGGGTTGACGAACTGAGTGACGTATCATAAGTGTTTATGGTCAGTGTGTGTGTATCTTCAAGGTGTACTTGACGTTTTAGTGAATGAACATGTGCATTGCTTGATCATCTTGTTCTTCTACTCATTCTTGCTATTGTTTGTTTTAATCATTGGTTTGATTCTCGTAATTGGGACCTTACAACTCTAATATGGTAATGGTTAGGATCTGGTATTGGCTTTTACACCAAATTCCTCCTTACTTACCGTGACATTGCACTTCTTGATCTTGTTTGCAATATTTACAGTTTCACCAATCATCCCATCTACCAACTTGTCATACAAACATTCCAGAAGACAATCATGAAGCATTTCTTTACGACTGTTACATAGATTGTAGTAGCTCATTATTACATCTTCCAAAAGGTCCAAGTCACTGCATTGACCTTTGACCATGATGTGGAAATCTTGGAAGCTTTCGAGTTGTTGAGATGGAAGATTTGGTTTTGAGGGTCTAGAACTTTCTAGAACTTAGACCTAGCAATTTTAGACATGAAGACACGAATCTATGAGAGACACAACACGACACGAATACATCTTAAAATTGAGATAAAGCTTATTTATCATCATGTAATCGTTAAATTCGTGGCTGACACGTTTTCATGATACGAATACACGAATTGCCAGGTCTACTAAAACTTCTGACACAACATCTTCATTGTCATTTAATGGTGGAGTTGGTAGTCTTTGATGTTTGTTTCTCTTTGTTCTGGTATTCATTGATAGTGTGTCGGTTTCTGACACAACCTAAAGAAGCTCCGTCAATAGTTGTTGATAACGTGAAAAAAAGAATTATAGGGAAGAAGAAAGAGAAGATATTGAAGATGAAATGGTTGATGTCACAACCTCGCTCGATGAATCAAAGGGGACAACACCCCTCATCTGTCAAATTTTTATTTAGACCCTTTATCGAAACTTATAATTTATGCTTCTTTCTCTTTAAATTATTTAAATATTTTAAATTTTAATATCTATGTGTATATGTGCGCTTGTTATATAAAATCTTTTTAGTTTAAGACAAATACCAAAACTTCAAACAAAATTCATCCATCCAAAATTTTAAGGGATCCAAAATTCTAAGGGGTTGAACAACCCATACTAACCATTTTTTTGTAGTTTTGTCTTAATAGAATTATATAGGAATTTTTAAGCAATATATCACAATGTTTGTTATTGTCATCAAACTTTAATAAAATATTATCTTAAGTCATATATGTATATAAAAATGAATAATAAAAAAAACTACATATAAAAATATTAATTATATACAAAATTTATCGCCTTAAATCACGTCTTACAAATAACATGACTCAATACAACCGATAAAAGCTTGAGGATTGATATTATCTCAAAACGGTTTCAAACTTGAAGAAGTGGCTCGAAATCCAAGTGAATGAATAATTTCTATCGGATCCTTTATTCACACTTAGAATGTTTTTTCATTGTATCCCCTCTAAAGACTACTACATTCTAAAGCATCTTAAAAGTTGTGACTTGTGAGAATTGCCACATCAAATCATCGTTTCTAGCCTCCTTCAATTGAGTAATGTTGTTTATCAAATGTATAAAAAAAAAAACGGAAAATTTGAAGTTGTAGGCATAGAAACAATCCACCAATTACACATACACTTTGATCCAAATTAGTTGAACAAATATTAACACAAAGAATAAAAAAGTTATCAAAACCATCTCCACTTTCTACCATGGTGCATTAACCTCTTCTTGAAACTTCACCTCATGCCTCCCAACCTTCTCTTTTAAACCACCCACAATCACATCCAACTTTCCACATCTCTCCTTCAACCCCACAATCTCATCTTCAATTCTTTTCTTTTCAATCTTCGCTTCATTATACTTTTCAAAATCAAACCTACCTTCCGCTTCCAACACAAATCTTGAAAGTCTACATATTCTCTCCCGTAAAAACCCAACTTTCATCCCCAAAAATTCAAACGATTTCAAGGAATTATCCCATACACCGAATTCCTCCTTAGTTACTGTGACCTTGCACTTCTTGATCTTGTTTGCAATTTTTACAGTTTCCCCAATCATCCCCACTACCAACTTGTCATACAAATCTTCCGAAAGACAATCATGAAGCAACTCTTTACGGCTGTTACATAGATTGTGGTAGCTCATTCTTACATCTTCCGGAAGCTCCGAGTCAATGCATTGACCTTTGACCATGATGTGGAAATCTTGGAAGGTAGATGGAATGTTTGGTTTTGAGGGTCTAGAACCTTCTAGAACTTCTGACTCAACCTCTTCGGTGTCGTTTAGTGGTGGAGTTGGTGATCTCTGACGCTTGATTTTCTTTGTTGTGGTAAATGTTGTATCCGTTTCTATGTTATTAAAAATTGAAAAATATTAAATAAAATGAAGAGTAAATTACACGAATGGTCCCTATGGTTTGGGGTAATTTGCGTGCTTGGTCCCTAACTTATTTTTTAACTCAAAAAGTCCCTACTGTTTGTTTTTGTTATGCGTTTGGTCCATACTGTTTGCTTTTGTTACGTGTTTGGTCCCTGTCTTATCTAAAAGGACTATTATTTAAATAGGGAAAAATAGTGGTTTAGGTAAGGTAAGGTGAGCTGGTGGGGTGGGATTGAGGGTGTGTTTATTTAAATAAGTTGAAAAATCAAGGGCAAAATAGTATTTTTAGGTAAGATAGGGACCAAGCATGTAATATAAACAAACAATAGGGACCTTCCGAGTTAAAAAAATAAGTTAGGAACCAAACACATAAATTACCCTAAACCATAGGGACCATTCGTGTAATTTACTCTAAAATGAATAATTCAAAGTCTGAGATGTAAGTCTAACACCTCAAGCCCAAAGTTATAGACATGTCCAATAAGATTAAAGATTAATTGAAAATTTGAAAGCCATGGTGGAAGTTATGTGTGGCCCACAACATAGAGTTTAGAGTAAATTACAAATTTGGTCCCTAAGTAATAGTTGTTTTTACAATTTTCGTCCCAAAAATAGTCATTTATTTGAACAAGGAGCAAAAACATTACAAAAAACCTCAAATAAGAACCAAAACTACAAGAGAAAATTTTATGGGACCAAAGTTGAAAAAATCGGCTAACTCAAGGACCATAAATGAAATTTACAGAAACAGACCTGGAATTGTGTTTTCTGTTTGTGCCTCCAACTCCAAAAGGCTAAGACCACCATCTTCTTTGTTCATATCATTCGCCCTAATTATATAAACCTAGAAATTCGAAACTGAAGTTAGGTTTTGATTCTTATTTTTCCCATTTCATGAATTTGAAGATTTGATGTTCATCAAGAACAAAAATTAAACCACAGAAATGAAAAGAGAAAGATGTCACCTTAAATTTAAATTGTTCGATTAACTGGAAGATTAAAACATCCCCTTCAAGCAAATTATGTCTACTTGCAAACTTTTTCCACCCTGCACTAAGTCCATTCTTGTGAGCAATGAATTTGATATGATGTAGCTTCTTCTTTTCATCTTCAATGATCATATCACTGTCTGTTTTTGGTAAAAACAGCTTGCTGAATGGCTGTGGAAAGCTCTGCATTCAGGAGAGATGAACAGATGATGAAATTTTTCATGGATAAAAGTAAAGACTGAATCAAAAAGTTGAAAAGACAGTAGATTTACCATCCAATAACCAGAACCAACATGTGCTTTCCCCATCAATTTTATACAGCTGGGATGTTCGCTTCCTAGGGTTGACTGAATCTCTTCAGCTAGAATCATCGCAGGAGTGATTTCAACAGGAGATTTAGAGCATTTTGAGGAGCTGTATGTCAAGTAGACAGCGTTAGTTTGAAGATTATTTAGAGAAGAACAATGTAGAAATGAAGCAGAACTTACCTCGAACAATTACTGGAAGGATCGGTGATTACCTGTTGATGAAATTAATGATCTGTAAGCTCCATTTATGTCGATTAAACAGAAGAGATATACAGGAAACATGGAAAAGGTCAAAAAAAAGAAATTTTGAATGTAAAGTTAAACCCTAAACCCCAAAAAAGGAAAGATGAACGGAATTGATCGGATTCTAAAAGGTTTTGTGAAAATGGATAGCTAACACTACGAATTGATAGTTCCGAGTAATCAATTTGGTAACAAAATCCACATTAATTGTGCAATTGAAAAGCGCGATTTCGATAGCAAAACGTATCGTTTTCTATGAAATAAAATAAAACTTACGATATTAGGTTTTGGATGTATCTTTTCCGCATTGATTTCACCTGTAGAAACGCCATATCTGACCGGCTTAAACTTTCTTCGTTTGCCCTAACAGAACCACAACCAGATCCAACATTAATCAACTGATGCTTCTGCAAATGCATTGAAAATGACATAGGTATAGTTGCATGTATAGATAGGGAAAGAGAAAAGAGAGAGACCAATAAAGAAGTTGAGGAGGGAGGAGGCGGAGTGTTAGGGAGAGAGGTTTTAGTTTCAGCCAATTGGGAGATAGTGAAATCGTGTTCATCAGAATCATAAATGCTCTTATGCAGGTGGAGATCGGAATTTTGTAGGGGAAAATTGGATTCTTCGGCCACCGGAGCTGCCATAACGTAAAGGGTTTTAGGGAAGAACAGGTAAGAGAAAGAGATTGCGGGAAAGCAGCGGTGAAGTAGGAAACAAATTCCAACAAGAGGTGGGTTTGAACCTGTTTTTTTTTTTTTTTTTAATGTTGATAATAACCTAGAAATAAATATATTTTTCGTTAATTGCTTTTAGAAAAAATTACATAAAAGTTTATAACTTTAAAAAAAAAAAAGTTGGAGTGCAGTTTGTTGTCGGTTTATCCTCTTATGTTTATATAAATTTCGGTTTTAATGTCAAAAAAGTATCAACATAAGTTTTTATAAAAATAGATTTATACGGATGCTCAAGTCGGTTTGTGCAAAGTAGGACAAAGAAAATGTGGTTTAGCTTAAGCTAGTTAGAATTAATTATAAAGTTGGTTAGTTATGTGCTGTTTGTTTTTTCTGAGACAAAATGTCTGCAGTCTGCGGATCACAACTGTAGACATCTGCAGTAGAAGAGGTGGATCAAATGTCTGCGGTCTGAAAAAAAAAAATTGTTTGTTTTTTTAACATCTGCAGGCTACTAAAATAAATTGAAATATAAATAAACTGTTTTTTTTTTAACTTTAAAGTTATTTTTTAATATTTTAATGACTTTGTTATAAATAATTAATAAATTTATATCAACTTTTATGTATTATTGTATAAAAAATAAAAATAAAAATGGTATGAATTAACGTATATATTTGATAAAAACCAACAACTTTGGTTGCAAAATTTTAGCTAAACATTATAATTAGTGATCAAAAATTTTGATACATAAATGGACGGAAATAAACTTCTTTTTTTTTCAATTAAATCCATTAAAAACGTATCATAAATATTTTTTAGAGAAATTAACGATACCATAAATATTTTCTAGAGAAAATATAAGATTATATTATAATTTTTTTATATTTATATAAACAACTTCAACGACTATTATTGTAATAAATCTTTATTTACAAATTTATCAAAAATATCATGTTTGTATCGTCAAACGTTTTTTTTTAAGTTTTGTATTTTTTTTTAAATTGTTTATCATTAATAAAGTTGGAAAAAATATAATTAAAAAAAAAGTTAAAAAAATAAAGATATATATGTTTTTTAGGCTAGAAGATGTCTGAAGATGTTAGAAGACTCTGGTTCACATCTGCGCCAAGAAGAGGGCGCATAGATTTTTAGGTCTACAGTCTTCAAAAAAAAACAAACAGTCTGCGAAGGCTAATATCTACGCGTGGTCTGCACGGCACAGACAGAAGAGGTTACGTAGATTTGCAGGAAAAAAAAAACACTACCTTACTTTTCTCATTTCTCTTTGATAGATTAATGTAAAGTAAATTAAATATTTTTTATCTTTTGTTTCTACATATTTTCATATACTCAGTACTTATAAAATAATGACATACATAAACAATTAATGCTCTTTCTTAATCCCTTTTTTGATTTTGACATATATTTTTATCTAATAATTAAAAACAAAAGCTAAGAATATATTTGGACTTTTATTACGGTTTATAGGGTATCTACATATCTAATCCATTTTATCTTTGTCTAACAATCCAAACATACTTCTCTTTTCAAATGTCTTCAATGGCTTTCTTTCTGGAGAAGTTGTAGGAATGATGCGGATCATATCATTATCTCCCAAGAAAAACTTATTTTTGTTGATGGTTCAATTCGTCTACCACACGTTGATTCGCTTGTTTTTGTTGATGGTTCGATTCTTCTACCACATGTTGATTCACCGATGTATTCAAGATGGTATCAGTCCAATTTAATGGCTATTTGTTGGCTTCTTCATTCTTTTCATAAGAACGTAGCAGAAAATGTTCTCTTTCTACAAACTGTACATGCTATGTTAAATGAATTAAATCAACTAATCTACCAAATTCAATAACAATTATATTCAATTTTCACAAAATTCAGATGATTTTTATACTTACTTGAATGACAACCATATATATAGTAGAAACAAAAGCTAGCTACACACTAGCAAAAAATAAAAAATAATAAAATAATAAAAAAATACACAGATGTTATTAGATGTTGCATTAACTAATATCACTTTTTAATAATCTTTGCATTTCTAGACAAATCAATTATGAGAGTAAACAACAACACGTTCCAATATATCCAGAATACCTAAATAATTGTGCAAAATATCACATTGCTAATCATCCATATGAAGTTAACAACAAGACATGCATCAATCCACTTAAACATATATGAAGTGTAGAGAGAAAACATTGGCTAAATAACAATACATTAAAAACTTTTCTATTTTCCGTTCAAATTGTTATAATTTTTTTAATAACTTGTGTAACGAACTTATTTTGTTAACAATTTATTATTGCTTAAACGAGTAATTTTTGTTAAGTCTTTCTTTATCAACAAACAAACTAAACTAAATATTTTATTAAAAAAAAAACTTTCATTTACATGTACATACACAAAACAACAGTTTCATTTCCCTTTTGTTAATTAATTAGGAATCTAAAAAAAACAATCATGTATTAAAAATTATTTTTTACTTATAACGAACTTTTATTATTTTCATTTGGAAGAAGCATAAAAAACTAGTTTGTTTTAGAAAATAACTATGATTTTAAGATTTTGTTATTTTCATAAGGTTATAATAATAATAATAATAAAGTATATCAATCTTGGTCAAAAGTAATTATCAGATTGTTATATATTTATCTATTAAAAAAGTCTAATTTTAATCTATAAAGTTTGGCTAAAAAATCAATAAATTATTCACCTAACTAGTTTGGTTTTAACAGTCATTGTTTTTTTTAATATGTCATATTTCTAACTAACATGTTTCTTTTGTTAATTTGTTTATTATTTGTTTATTATAAATCATTTGTAATTGTTTCTTTTGTTAATTTGTTATTATAATGTAATTGTTTTGTTGGTATATTATAAGTTATAATATTGATATAATATTTTTAACCTTTTTATCCTTCTACCTCTATGTTTCTTTATTAATATTTTTTGGTATTTTTATATTCTTAAGATTATAGAGTATGTTTAAGAAATATTTTCATTGTTTGATTGTCATCCAAGTTTTTTCTCAATCTCATTTTCCTTATCAAAAGTCAAGGAAATGTTCACATATCATTATCTTTCACTATCTTTAATTAATTAATTTTTGTTTTAAATATTGTATATAAATATTATACTCGTTTTCTAGGGAATTAAAAACCATGAATTTTAATATTTTTTTTTATTTTTCAATATATATATATATATATATATATATATATATAACTGAAGAAACAAAATTAACCAATCACACAAAAAGATAGTGAACGATAGTCTCCCCTCACCTTTTCCTGTACCCTCAGTATAGTGTTTCGGGGTGCAAAAACTTTTCCCTCACTCCTTATCCACCGACCTAATGAAATCTTTCTCCCTAGTCTCCTCCTTTAACCAAATCAATATCACATCATCCATTAGTCAAACATTTTTATCGTCTAATAAAGAAAATTATTATTTGATCAACAATTGTAAAATGTACAAATGCTAAAACAAGCTTGTATAATTGATGATGCAGTTGATTAAGGCGATATCAATGATGAAACATGATGTTCATTTACAAGTTGAGAAGCTTGTGGTGCATAAAGGGATGAAATGGTGTTCATTTACGGTGCCTCAACATTTTTCCGTCTCTTCTTGACTCATGATTTGGTTAGACCGTCCACCATTTTCTTATATTTTTAATTCAAGAAGATAATTATATTTCTTATTCTATTTAGTTATTGTATAGGTAAAATTGCAAAAATGGTCCTTACGGTTGCCAAACTTATGCGGTTTTGGTTCAAAAATGTTTGATGGTACACCAGTGGTCCAATTTTGGATACCTTGTACAGATTTGGTCCTTATGCTGTTAACTTTAACATGTTGACTGTTAACTTTTTAAAATGATTATTTTACCCTCACGGACCATTTCTGCAATTGAGTCTTTTTACTAAACCCTGGGGACCATTTATGCATATCTTTTTTTAACTTTATTGACATAGTATATATTAATTATTTTAATTAATTTTTAATTGGACTAATTCTTTTTATTGGATTATTATATATTAATTAATATTATTTTTATATTAATAATATTATTTTATTAGATAATAATTTCTTTTAATTAATTCCTTTTTAATTTATTTATTTTGGATTAATTCTTTTTTATTGGATTATTATATATTAATAAATATTATTTTTATTATTAAATATTTATATATTAATGAATATTACTTTATGGGATTATTAACTTCTTTTAGTTATTATTTTTTTAATTTCTATTGTATTAATTAATTTTTCTCGAACCGAGCTTTGAGACATATTTTGGACAAAATCACCATTTTCATATCGAGTGATAGTGATGGCGTTGTCCAAAATATGTTATCTCTCACATATTAAAAATAAATTAGAAGATGTTGGTTTTGGGGCCTTGTTCTTGACATTTTGTTGGATTAGTTTCTTTTAGTTAGTTTCTTTTTTAAAACATTTTTTTTATTATATTACTTATTTTTTTTAATTGTTATATATGAATAAATATTATTTTAAATATATAATATTAATATATTAATGAATATTATTTTATGGAACTACTGATATTTATAACTATTTTTTAATATTTATTTGAATTAGTGTACATTAATAAACAGGAAATTAAGTAATCTAACAACATTTTAATGTGTATTTTAAAGAAAATAACCAATTTTGTTAACAAAAATAACCACTTCGTTTGAAATGGACATCTGGACGGTAACATATTTTGGACAACATCACCACTATCATTCGATCCGAAAATTATAGTTTTGTCTAAAATATTTCTCAAACTCGGTTCAACAAAAAAAATTAATAAAATAGAAATTTTAAAAATTAACTAAAAGAAGTTAATAATCCCATAAAGTAATATTCATTAATACATATAAGTATTTACAATGAAAAATAATATTTATTAATATATAATATCCCAATAAAAAATTAATCAAATAAAAAAATTAAAAAAGAATTAATTAAAAGAAATCAATACTCCAATCAAATAATATTATTAATATATTAAATATTATATATTAAAAATAATAGTATTTATTAATATGTAATAATCCAATAAAAATAATTAATCTAATAAAAAAACTAAAAAACTTCATTAAAGAAAACTAATATATAATACTTCAATAAAGTTAAAAATAAGATATATAGAAATGGTACCTATGGTTTTTTTAAAAGATTCAATTGCAGAAATGGTCACTGAGGGTAAAATAATCATTTTTAAAAAATTAACAGTCAAACTGTTAAAGTTAACGACATAAAGACTATATCCGCACAATGTATCCAAAATTAGACCACTGGTGCACCACCAAACTTTTTTGGATCAAAACCGTATAATTTTAACAACCATAGAGCTCATTTTTAAAGTTTTGTCTATTTTATAACTTTACATATGTATCTTATATGTACTCTAAAAAATCAAAAACCACAATTAATTTAAAAGTGAATCGTAGCTCCCTTTTCTTGATAACCATGTAATGCTACATAGTCATGTAATTTTATGACTTGCAAAATTGGTTATTTTTATCCTAAAAAATCTGACAATATATCAAGTGTTTTCAGTGGCGGACGCAGACTGTTTTAGTAGGGGTATCCCTCGTACTTCAAGCGGATGCACGTAATAGAAAAAATAAAAATAAAATAAAAAAATTTACATTGCGTGCCGGAAATTAAGCAATGACCTGGGACCCCAAATACCCTCATAAGTCCGCCACCGAGTGTTTTGATCTCCTCCACTTCTTTTTAATCAAGTCTTTCCAATAACTTGTGTCATAGTAGTATTTTCATTTTTCAACCGCAACTCCCTAAACATGTTGGGAACTCCTTGACTTCACTTTTCTTCATCTATGGTATAATCTCTCTCAACATCAACCACATTTTACTTAAAAATCATCATTTTGAATCCCCGCTTCCTTTAAATGATCATCTTCTATAAAGGTTGGAGTCTATCTTGTTATAACCTTAACACGAACATAATATGTGATACTATCGATCTCTACGTTCACTACATCGACAATGATCCCTAAAGTAGTAGATTTAATGCACAAACAATTAATTTGATCATTAGGGTTCTTCTTTAACATAGATAAGTGAAATAAGAGATACATCACATTTCAGATTTTGAGTGTGAGGTGGCATTTAGCTTATTTAAAATTTTTATTACTATAAAAAGTATGATGATATCTTTTTATGTTTGTGACATAAAAAAAATACCATATAGATGTTTTGGAGGAAAAAAAAAAAATATATATATATATATATATATATATATATATATATATATATATATATATATATATATATATATATATATATATATATATATATATATATATATATATATGAGCTATTTAATACAAAAAACTCAAATAGAAACAACAAAAATAACAAAAATCAACTTTACTCAAAACCATATAAAAGAAAAAGATATCCTCTCAATATATGAGCTAATGACATCCATACAATCATTGTTTTCCATCAATGCTCATCCCAATAGAATGTTTTTCCACACGTGTCCGTAGCCGTCGGTGTAATTTGCATTTGTCTTTCCCCATTTCCGACCACAAACTCCGGTTATATATCTCACCGCCGGCACCAACTCCGGCGACTACCATGATTAATTTCTAACACTCGACTCTAAAACCAGAAGTTAAATATGGAAATTAAACAAGATGAGATGAAAAAAAAAAAACCTAGCTTGTAATCAGTGATGTGATAATTTTTTTGTTCATATGATCAGAAGCAGAAGGAATTGCAGTTAAAAGTACAACAATGTCGATGTACGTACTACTCTTCTTCTTCATTTTGTCTTTCAATGGCTTTTCCGTACAGAAATTCAGAGTTCAGACTCTCAATAATAATAAAAAACTGCACATTAATTCTACCTTCAATTTGTTACGAATTAATTTCGTGTAATGATTTTCAATCGTCATCTTATCATCTTCATGGCTTCAGTTGAACCCACTCGAATCGTCCTTCTGATGGCGTGTCGTTTACAATGTCGAAATTGTACCTGAAAGTTTATGGGGTATGATCGAATCTCAGTTTTTGTTTTGTTTCTTGAATTTTTAGTTCTTAAATTTGATGAACATGAAGAACGAGAACTCACTTGTCTTTGAAGCGTTTATGGAGGTCTTTCTCCGCGGCGGTGAAAAATTCTTCGAGCTCAGCCGTTGGCACTGTACGGCGGCGACAATTGGTTGCTGTTGACGACGGCTTTGATTTGAGCATCTCCGGTGCTTTGAATTTGGTGCTCGGTTTGCTGAAATGAACATCGATGAGTTTCGATTTGGTTTTAAAGGAAGGGAGAAAATGTAACAACGCTGGATCATAAAACTTCATCTTCTAAAATTTGAAGAAACTATGAGAAGAACGAGATTACAGCCATTAACAAACCTTGCTCTTGTGTCCAAATTACATCTCGCATTTGGTTCAAATTCATCCTGCTAATTCGAAACCGAAAAAATCAAATTATGACATTCATATAGAAGGAATCAGAGAGTATAAAAAAAGTTGAACAATTATCATTCATACAAATACCTTCAGATCTGTGAATTCCAATTCTTCTGTTGATCCATTATCTAAGCAACAAGACACTACATTGTGATCGCCGGCGGAAGTGCCTGTCTCCTTTTCCGTCGTAATTTGACCGAACGGCGACTTCGGTTCTCCATTACCGACCTTTCTCCTCTTCTCTGCAACCACCGAAGCTTTGGTCCTCATGCTACCGAAGCAATGTCAATCGCCAACTTCTTTGCTGCACTTCCTTGTATATATACTCGACTATTTATACGCACGCACACAAGTTATATAGTTAGTTATTTTAATGGAGAATAATATCTTCTGTGATTCTTCTGTTTTTTTAGTTTCAGAGAGAGAAAGGGGAGAGTGGAGGTGATGATGAGGACGTTGGTGATGGCAGGGATTCCGTTTGAATGCTGGTTGTTGATTGGGTGTGGGTAGTTGTGGTCCTCACTTTCTCTCTCTACATCGTTGTTACACTTCTACTGTGTGTCGGGTGTGTGATTTGATGGCGCCGTTACCTGAACCACGATTAACCCGTCGTCAATCTACCGGTATACGGTGGCTGGCTGGCCGGCCGGCGCCCCTATCCTGCGGTTACTGGTTGCAACTCATACGTGAATCGTTTTCAACGCAGCACATTTGGTGATTATTTGGTATGCAGCAAATTTCTTGATTTTACGGAGTATCTTATAATGTTTTTTTTCTTTTTTTTTACAAAATTATAAAATTGGTCCATGTAATTTGTAATTATTAATAGTAATGGCTTTTTTTTTTTTTTTTTTTTGACAAATTCTATTATTGTAGTTTTAAGGGAGCTCGACTAATGAACCAAAAATTTGGAACCTTTTGGTCTTTATTATTCAAAACTGATTTTAAAATTCAACACACAATGTCTTATTAACCATAATAAATAATCTAATAATAAGAGGGTCCAGAAAAAAAATTTGATATACATATAACAGTATCAAATTGTATAGTTACTCGGGAACTATTTGCTATATTTCATAAACAAACATGTAGATACTCAAGAACTATTTGCTAAAAGAATTTCAAAGCAAATAGCCTATTGATAATTTCTAACCCTTTTTTATTTGTAAATCTGGTTTCACATATAATCTATGTGGCTTCGTTAGTAAAGTTTTTAAACATCTATCAAAACATGTAGATTTAGTAATGCAACAAACCTAATGCAATTTTAGCAAGTTGATATTAACTTAGTATTAAGAAATATATTCAATAATTTGTGCAGATCACTAGGTCTCGCAATTGGGTTGGGTTTGGATTGACGGGTCAGAAAGCATAAACTCAACCTAATCCATATAATATATGGGTTGGCGGACCACGGATTGATGGGTTGGAAACTTCAACTCAACCCAACTCATATAACCCGTTTAATAAATAAGCAACACATTTTAAAAAACAAGGTTTTTTCAACATAAAGTCATAAAGTGATTGAAGTAATTAACATAAAAAAATAGGTTTTCAATATAAGTTCATAAAGTCATTAACATCCAAATAAAATTGAAAAATGAAAACATTCAAATAAAGTGGAGATATTCTTTGTTCGTGACCCGTGAGTATCTAAAAATGATATTTTTTATTAGGTCATATCAAATACAGACTAGCCACATACGAATACGGAATGAATACAATGATACGAAATATTATGAATATAAAAGGAAATCAAATTTCACTAATATATATATATATATATATATATATATATATATATATATATATATATATATACACACACGGATTGGCGGGTTGACTCGCGATCCCAAACAGGTGATCCAACCCAATCTATGAAAAAAATGGGTTAGTGGGTTGACAGGTTGGTAGGTCAAAAATCTCAACCCAAACCCATCTATTTTCGGGTTGGGTCAGTGTCGGGTTACGACTTCAGTCAAGAGTGGTCACCCTTATAGATTAGTAATGAGATAACCCCAAAGTTTATCTAATAAACGGATATTCAAAAATGGAAGGTCCATAAGGGAAACTGGTATACATATAACATATCAAACATAAGCTAATAAGTGATAGGTGGTAAGACTAATAGACTAATCTGTCTAATCGAAAAAGAAGAATCAACAATGGAGTTATCAGTTATGGAGAATCAGAGGAAGAAGTCATGAACAACATAACATTTCAGCGTTTCAGAATTCAGGAATCAATTCTTGAAGTTTGTAGTTTTAACTTTTGATTTTTGAACAATCAAGAATCGATTAGAGCCAAAAAGAAGAAAAATCAAGAATCAACTAAGGAGGATCGGAAGAAGAATAGAAAACAAATTAGTAATGGTTTTTGTGGTTCTACTGAGCATGAAGAATCAGAGAAAAGAGAATGAGAAAGAATCAAGGAACTCAAGAAGATCGAAAGAAGATCAGTCACATGCCTCTTGGATGATGAACTTTGTGGCATGTGCAAACGGAGAATCTACATTCCCCTAATTGAGGTTTGGGTTAAGTGGGGCTTCTTAGAATTGGGGGGCCCTAAGCCCTTGCTTATTTTTCCTTAATAAGGTTGGCCTTGGTTTCCAAAACTTATATAGATCTGAACATAGAAAGACTAGTATGACATTTTTATTTTCTTTTACCCCTTTTTAATTAAAATTATTCAGAAAGAAAAAGAAAAATAAATAAATGATACCCATCCCCAACCCCCAATAAAAACCTTTACACATCTCATGATTCGTCAACTGCTATAAGAACCTGAAATTTAGAGAAAGTTGACTTTTAGTCAAATATTAACCACAAGGGTAAAATGGTCAATTACAAGGAAAATACGAGATCATGGAGTTGAAACTTCAAGAAAATGGTCAAGATAAGTTTAAGTTACTTAAAAGAGGTTAGAGGGGTGAGTTTAAGAGAATGAATGCATAAGAAGATGCATTTTGGCCAAAAGGGTAAAATTGATATTTTTAAGCTTTTTAGGCCAAGTGTGTGACTTAAAAGATTAAGACTTGTATTAATTCAATAAGAAGCGACTTGATAGAATTATAGAGTATGTTCCCACCTTCGTGTAGATATAAAACACATAGAAAATAAGTAAGAAACGAAGAAGTTATAAGGGTTAGAAGTTAGGATAAAAAGTGTCCCCAAAGTTGTAATGGAATCAACAATACACTTTGTTATTCTCCAGGTGTCGCGGCGTGGCAAGTAGCTCATCATGGCGTGGTGAACGATGACAAGGATTCAAACGTGGTCCTCCACGTCTTACAGAAATGACAATGTACTTTGGCCCCACAACGCAACAAGATTTTTGCCAAGTTACAGTGGTGTAAGTGGTTGCCATTGACCACGAGTCAACTGGCCACCACGGTGCCCAGTTCACCATGGCATAGTGGCGCATAGAATAAACCCCCTGATCAATCTTCATTTTCTTCCAAAAAAAGTCCTCTTTCCTTATAGGAGGGAGCTTGGACGATTTTGGGGATGTAGAATGGTAAAGTGGTGGTCCACAGTGTTAGAGGAAAGGAATGAACCAAGGTTGTCAAAATTGAGATCTTATTTAAAATCGTTTTACATTTTGAAAGATCGTGATCATAAGATCGGATCAGGATCTTAAGATCCTACCAAAATGAACTCTTATTCAAATTTGCTCGCAAGATAGTGTAATCAAATATAACTTCTTATGCATCACCTATAATTTTTCTTGCTACAAACCATAAACATTATGAATAAAACATCTTAACTAGAAATAAGATTATTTTGATCATGTACAAGTAAGACATAAGATCACTAAAGGATTATTATGAGTATGTTCTGCCTAACTCAAGATGAAATGATAAAAATATGATACTCTAGAAGATTTCTTGCAACTTGTGACCCTCGATTTCAAGTTGAATAAACAAATTTTTAATACTTGGCTATATAATAAAACTAAAGAGGTAAGATGTAACATCCATAAATTTCACAAAAATTTTAAAATTTTTCAAAACATCCAAAAACACCATTTATTACAAATTGTTTTCAAAATAATTTGTCATCAGAGTCATTCCCATATATCATACCACAAAACATAAGGAGGTGCACGATCAAGCCTTCGCCTTCCCGCGATCCTCTAAAGTAACTAAATCCATAAACGAAACTGTAAGCTCGAAGCTTAGTGAATTCCCCCAAAGTACTAACACCCAAACATATAACATAACAACACGCATATTAGGTCATTAGCCTGACTGGACCGCCTCACAGGGCGTACAGTCTATCTGGACCGCTCCCGAGCCTTCTGCACGTCTGAACCGCCTCACAGGGCCTACATCCTATCTGGATTACTCGTTGGGCCTTCCGCCTGACTGGACCGCCTCACAGGTCCTTCAGTCTATCCGGGCTGCCTTGGGTCTGTTGGCCTTCAGCATAAAGTAGGGCCACCTAAACCCAACCATACACACACATATGTTGACATACTCATAATGTAACACCCGGATTCCCAGATATTATTTTTATTCTTTTATTTTTGGGTGATTGTGAGGAGACTCGGCGAGTTGGAGTCTAAACTCGCCGAGTAGGATCGCGGTTTTGTGCGCGGGTTCGCGTCTGAACTCGGCGAGTCCACGCTGTTTAATGAAACCCTAATTTCCAGGGTTTGAGACCTATTTAAAGGGGCTTATGGTCGTCATTTGCGGCCACCAACCCCAGAGAGAAACCTTAAAGAGCTTTTGAGCGTTTTGGGAGAGAGAATAGGCCATTATTGACTTTTGAAGCTTGGTTTGGCAAGGCAAAGGAGATTCTAGCTAAGAGGAGGCAAGGGAGGTGGACATCCTTCGATTTTGGAGCTCAGAGCATCATTTTGGAGGTATATTTTGGCTCCCTTTTCTGTTGTTATGATGAACATGGGGGTTTAGGGTTTCTTGACCCCTTTGTTGGTTAGATTTGATGTCCATTTCATCCCTATTTGTGATGAGGCTTGAGATGGGATCCATAGAGGTCTAGAGAAGCTTTATTCCTTAAGCTTTATGAGGATTCATGGGAGTTTTGACCTAGAGTTATGAGATATGGGGCTAAAACATCATTTAAGAGCAAATAGTTGTTGTTTGAGCACCAAGGTTTGGACTTTACGTGATTATCATGCTTGGGGAGGCCATATATACGATTGTATGGAATAGATCTGACCTCATAAGTGAGTTTGAGTTTATGCATGGCATGGACTCGCCGAATCTGAAGAACAGACTCGGCGAGTAGCATGAGGTTTGCCCGTAACCACTTAGCGAGTGGTCTTGTCGAGTTGAGGGGTCGACTCAGTGAGTCAGGGAGAGTCAGGGGGGACTGAGTCAAGCCGGAACTCGCCGAGTTGTTCTTAAGACTCGGCGAGTTGAGTCGTGGTGGCCCCGCAATTTATGCCAGGTGAAACCCGTCGAGTCAGAGAAGTACTCGGCGTGTCAAGAGAGGATCCAAGGGAGTCAGTGGACACGTATAGACTCGCCGAGTGGCCCTAGTGCACTCGCCGAGTCCGGTCAAAGTTGACCGTTGACCTTGTTGACCTTTAGGGTTGAGTTCAGTTGTATTTATGAGTCTATTACTTTGTGTGATTAGGCGGAGGCTATATCACATTTATTCCGAGACAGATATTTACCGAGATACGCGAGGTGAGTCTTCTCACTATACTTTACCGTGAGTAGGTAAATAGAGTTATGTGATATAGTGTTTTATATATATTGTTGTTGCACTGCATTCTTCTATGTGATTTATGTTGTGCATGC